GGAACGGCGGGCGGGGAGACCCTCCAGCCGCGCTCTCCACTTTCCTCAGGTGAAAGGTCTCATCCAGGTATGGAAAAGGGGGAACTTTGCAGAGGCCTCCCTCTGATCTGGGGATCCATGGTGGAGCCTGGAGATGCCCCTTGCCCCTGATCCCTAGGGACTTCCAAGAGATCCCTAGTGGGGAGGAAGCTGAAGCTTCTGGGTAAATAGGGCATTGCGCACTAGACAGCTGCTGAGAGCACAGCCCTGAGGCAAGCAGAGGGGCTGGGGAGTTAGCCCAGTGACTGGTGGCTTTGGCTCAGATGCCCAGTGCTCTGTGTGGGAGATCTCTGCTGGCCCATGAGCAACCCTGTGTCTGGGGGGTGCTGAATCACTTACCTCGGGGGAGCCCTGAGCATTTGTGCCTCTTCCTTCCCTTGCTCATTTGCTTTTCTCCCCTCCCCCCTCTCATGTTAGTGCCCCTTGTGCAGTTCCCTGCTTTGGGGAAATTCAAGGCCTAGACTGAGCCACCCGTTGGGGGCCAGCCAGGGAGAGGGATTTGGCTTCTGCCACTACGGGGGGGGAGGGAGGAATGAGTGATGGGAAACTTCCAGACCTGCTTTCCAGCCCCAGTGATGATTCTCTGCTTCCCCTGCTTTGCCTCCACTCCCTCCCACCCCCACAGTCCATTATCCACCTTTGCGTTTCCCCTTTCCCACACAAAACATTATCTCCTGCTCCCAGCCTCTTCAGGCAAGGCTGCGGAGGAGAGTGATGCAAATGAACTCAGTGGAGTTGGGATGCTGAGCTTTAAAGAGGCTGAATCGTGCTTGGTGAGAACTGACAGTCTCCCACGCCAGCCCAGGGGAGTGCTATGGACCCCAGGATGGATGTGAGAGCCAGGAGGAAGCCATGGAGACATCCAGATGATAGATGCAGGTGCAGGTGGCATTATGCCTGTGTTGGGAGGTCTAGCAAGCTTTGGGGCACATGAGTTTTGCCAGTTGCAAAGCACTACCAGTGCACATGGTTTCACCATGCCCCATCCTGCTCAGATGCCCCCTCTGCTGGTGCTGAGCCCAGCTGGCAGCACTAGGGGAGCACTGGTGGCAGCATTGTGGTTCACTCCTGTGCAGGTGCCAGCCAGGAGTGGCCTTAGCTGTGTGTGACTGTTCAGGGCACTGTGGTCACGTGGTGCCATGGTCAAGGCATGGGGTTCCCCCTGCTTGCCCGCAGGGTACAATCTGGCATGGCAGGCGCACCCACCTACCTACTCCCAATTGAAGGGCCCCTGCTCACCCCTCCATGTGTTTTCCCAGCCCAGGTTCAGTCCCATCTCCACACTGCAAGCTGGTGGGCTCTTCCACCCCGTGCCCGCCTTCCCGGAAGTGTCTCCAGCTCAGGCCATTATTCCTCATTTCTGGCAGTAGGCAGGTGAACTCTGTCCCTGCGCCACACCCCAGGGGGAAACATCCCGCTGCGTCCCAAATGCCTCGTACCAGTCCTGTCAGAAGCAGGGTTCCGGACTGGCCTTGAGGGTTCCATATGGTCAAGAGGAAAGGAGCAGGCTGGGCCATGGGAGGGAGCTGGCGGGTGAACCCAGGGAGGCACCAGGGTCCGGGGTAACAGAGGGGACGACTAGGGAGGCAGGAGGGGCCACAGGGATGGCTAGGGTGCCAAAATATAAGGTCGTCTGGGAGACTATTTTCCGGGCCCAGGTTAACCTTTTCCACCCCATGCACCATTATTTCCATTAGACCAGAAAA